GGCTGTCAAAACAAGCTAAATGTATGACGCAGAGAGGGGAAGAATCCATCAGCTTAGGTTGTAACCTTTTGTAAAAAATATACAACATACTTTGCTGCCTACATTAAGCTGGTTACCAGATCAGAGTATACTAAAAGGTTCTGAGCACTTATGGTTTCAGATCCTTCAAGCTTTTCCCCAAAAGCAGAAGAATTAGATTCCAGAGAAAATGCAGTTGTGTTTTTTTTTTCCTCTGGCAGCACCTGGCAAAGAGTAATACAGCAATGCCCTTCCCCCACATGTTGCTGTGGAATATTTGTAGCAGATGATATGAATGAATGGGATCCATCCCTCTGATAAACTAATACAATTAGTATGATACAGAACTGACTGTATGCAGTACAGCCCTTAAGTAGAGATTTCCTGATCCAATGGAAATCGGCCCGATAACAGACAAAAATCAGTATCTGAATATATCAGCATCTAAAATGTCAGAAATAATAATGCTCATAGAAGCACTCTGCTTCTATTTAAAATTGACATAAACCTTTGGTTAACCCCAAAATGGGTCGGTCAGCTGTTCTTATACCTCTTGTTTTATTTTAGACATTTATTCTCTGTTTTAGTAACATAACATTAGTTACTTAATTAAGCCTTTTTAACGTCCCACGCGACAAAATAAGTAATAAAAGTATGATTTGTGCGGAAATTTAATCAGGTCAATATCGGTCATCACTAAAAAGTTACCAAATCCATATTGTATTGACTTGAAAAAGTTGCATCATATGTTAGTCAACATGTTTTTAGTGCATGTCTGTTTCCCTAAAGAGACCTGTACATTAAAAAAGGTACAATATTGTCAATCAGCATTAGAAAGATACTTCTCACTTTTCCCGGTGTCTATTCTATGTCTGCTAAAGATTTTCTACCAAAGTTACAATGACAAAGCAATACATTATATGCTATATTAAAGTAACAACAGGAATTAATGTTGGTTGCCTGTTTTAGTTAGAAACTCAAATGACTGTAATTTTGATTTCAATTTTGGGGTAAATACTTGGATATTGTGGCCTTTTGTCTCCAGAGTAACGTATCTTGAGAATATTAGAACAGTTCATGCCTTCTTTAAAATGTGTATAATACAGCATAACATGAGGCAGCACTGTAAGCACAGTTCTAGTATGTTTGGACAGACTGAGAGCTAAGCATTCTTCCATTACTAATGTATTCCAAGAAACCACACAAGTATGTCTTTTTACCAAAGGATATGTGTACGTTTCAATGCAGGCACATAAATAATGGTGTGCACACATGTTGCTTTAGTAAACTTGTTCAATCTGAATTGTTACAAGTGCTCCCATTATTTTGATGAGTGATGGCCTTGTGGTTTTAGTGTTTTGTGTCCTGGCAAGGCTGCAGGTTCCCTGGTTGGGGTCCTACAGGCTGCCACACTGGGTCCCTGAAGCAGACCCTCAGCACTACACAGTGCCAGTCCACTGCTCCCTAAGGGATGGGTTAGACGCAAAGGATACATTTAACTGAAATGTACAAAGTTTAATTGGCATATAAAGATAATTATTTAAAAAAAGGCAAGGGAGCACAAAAACAGCGGGTGAATAAAAACAACACTTAACCCATCATATGCCCAAGGAAAGAAAGGATGTACCTGACATGGTTAAAGGACATGGCCGAGGTACGGTCCAGAGGGGACATAATCATTCAGTGGCCCTGAATAACTAAAAAAGAAAATGAAAGGCAGTCACAGCAATTCTGGAAAATGTAATTCTCAGCAAGAAGCAGTGTAGCCAATGATAATAATAATAAAAAAAAAAAAATTATACTTTATTTTACCTAAAAAAAAGGTAAAATAATAAATAAAATAAAAAATAGAAAAATCTCCAATCAATTGCTTCCCTAAATTTAAAATTATTAGAAAGACTATAAAGGCAGCCTTAGGTTGTTAAACACCAAAATCTCCCCCAATAGGAGCCCTCCCAGAGACATAAATCTGAAGTGTTTTGCTAAGCTCCTTGTTATGACTGTACTTCTATTTCAGCAGTCACAAACATGTTGCTGCTCTCTGTGCAACATCATGGGAACCGTCTGAAATCTAAACTCTGCATGAAAAAGAATGCGGTGTGTTCATTGCCCAGCTTACCACTAATGTCCGACAAGGATAGAAACTGGAGGAAGGGAAAAGCTACAGTTCTTGGAGAACAAATATTCAGAGAATCCTAAATCAAATGTGGATAATGTAAAAGACCAATAAAGACAATTTTTTATAACTGCATTTCCTGTCTATTACTTATTTTATTTGCTAGGGTCCAGAATTTGGCTTTCTTCCTGTTGCAAGTTATTTAAGGAATATGTGGCAGCTATGCTAATCTATATGCTAAACATTTTACAAATTCTTAGAGTAAACAAAGTCAGGCTACAATGAGACTACTGTGAATGAAGTCTGCACAATACATTGCAAATAAATCATCGCCATTAAGTCATTGGGTAATATTAATATCACAAACAAATGTTTAGAGCAATAATTGTTTACCAATATCCTAAAACTGCTTTGAACCTATTTTAATATGCCAATGTAATATTTATCCAGCTGGAAACACACCGGTAGCAGCAGATGTTCACACTGGACACAAATGCTAAAAGCCCACAGAATGACTGAGGCACAGATAGGAAAGATGACTTGATTTTGTCATTAAAATATTTACCACTATTATCAGCAGTCCAAGGTTTGTTTTTATCATCACATGAAGATTATTCTTTGTCACTAAATTGTCAAATGGATCCAGGTCTGGACCTTTACTAGACCACTTAAAATCTTATGTAACCTCATGTCAGTTACCCTCACAGTTGCTCTTTATCCTCCTTCTCTGTGCCAACAGCATGATGCTGCCACACCATGCTTTTACCAGTGGAGAACCCTGTTCAGGGTGATGTAGTGTTGTTTGCTGCTTTTTATTTTATTTATTTACTTTGTGTGAAAAGGTTTGATTTTGGTCTAATCTGATTGTCTTTTTCCACACCTGCAATGTCCATAAACAGTTTTAAAAATCAACCATTTTCCTTTCTCTACCATTTAAATGTCTCTTTGGGATCAATAAAAAAATTATTCACAGTTATTGATTTGCAACATGCTCTTCTATTGCATAAAACCCATATAAAATGATCAAGGTCAGTGGATTAGATTTGACAAAATGTTTAAAAATTTAAGTCATATTAAAGTTTTCCAAAGTGGTCTGATGGAAACGTACAGCTCCAGATGCCGTCTCTCATGTCAGGCTCTCTGAGAAACGACAGTCTTTTCGTGGGGTCCAAAGATTAATAAAGTGACACAAAATAAGTAATTATTCCTATAGGGGCAATCTGTTTGGGGTTTTGTTTTTCTTTTTTCAGCCTTTAGGAACAGAAAATAACAAACACAGCCCGTGAGCAGCTCTGCAGCCATTAGGGGGAGAATGTATGTGTAAAGTAGGTGGGAGGCTAAGGGGAATGAGGAGCCTGATGGTGTGATGAGACTACCTAAATATTACAGTACGCACACTTCACCCACATATCTAAAACCTAGCCTAAATACAGAGGCGCCCAGAGCTTAAGGCAGGGTATCAGTAGTTGCAACGGATGTGAAGACAAGAGAATCTGCTCCAGACAGCTGAATTAAAGCATGACCTATAGTCCCTGTTGAGAAACATTAGGGAGCTTTCAGTGTGCAGGCATTGCTCTGTTAGCTGTTCATCATTACTCGGGATGGTGGACAGTCACCATTACACACACACAGAATCGCCTTTCTTTACAATAACACAGCGGCAGCCATGACTCCACATTTGTCAAGAGGATGTTTAAAAAGAGCTCTCATTATTGGCCTTTATTTTGGAGACGGAGGAGGGGGGGTGCAGACTGATAGGAGAAGATTCATCTGGTTAACATCGAGCTCCTCACCTTAAAGCGACTTCATGGGACTGGATTGGCGTTGGATTGGGGGGGGTCGAGCAAACGGGTACCAACTAGGAGGGAAAGAGCTGCTGATAAGAAGTAACCTGGGTCTGTTGGCCAAGAGATGTTAAATCATAGTCAGTCACTCCCATGAGTTCACAAACATCAGCATTCCCATTGCTCTAAAATTCTCTCTTATCAGACCAATCAGTTATCCGAGTGCTCCAACAAACACGTCTGCTACCATCAAAACACTCACTCCTTCACATGAAAACACACACTCGAGAAAATGGCCGAAGGAAGAAATTCATCCAGAGAAGCTCAGCCTTACAAGTCTGACCTCATTTTTAGCAACAACTATATGAAATCAACTATGCTACAAATAATTTAAACAAATTTTTAAAGCGTGCAAAGCCTTACAAAGCCTGAAGAAGTACTTCAAACTCTAACTTCAATGTGTTTTTAAGAGGATTTTACACAATATATTAAGACAAATAAGAGGGTAATTGTAAATGGCTTGCGTATTTACTCATTTATAAAGGGAAAAAAAACAATTTCTTATATTTAAAGCTGCATGTGGTTTGGGGCATGACTCTACCAACATCACTTGTCTCAGACTCGGACAGGATGGAGATCATCTATGAGGGTTGATGTTCAGGTCCTTCCACAAAGTCCGAGTCAGACAAGGGAAATGTTATCAGGCTTTTGTCTGATCCGTTCCATTCTAGCTTCACCCTAATGTTCAGGTGGGAGGTGAATTTCTGAGACGCTCCAGGGTTTTTTTTTTTCCCACAGGAGTACTCTGTAAACAACTCTAAGCAGTTTGGTCTTTATGAGGCTGATATTTAATTAAAGTTCTCCAGGAAAATCTAAAGCCTTCAAATAATTTACTTTTCTCTATTTTTTTATTTAGGGGTTTAAAAGTAAAGGGGAGAAGATAAAAGAAATATATTTTTTCCTTAAGCCCCATGTTTTTTGGTTGCAACACAAAAACACGCGGAAAGTTCCATAGAGATCTAAATAATTTTTCAAGGCAATGTGTGTGTGTGTGTGTGTGTGTTCTTGATTGTTATACTTACTTTTATTGCCCACCAAGAAAACAACGGGCTGGATATCAGATTCCTCGTTGGCTTTCTTTACCAAGTTGAACCAATCCTCCAGGTTCTCAAAGCTCTGGTAGTTTGTAATGTCGTATACTAGAAGGACCCCCTGTAGTAGAAAAGGAAACTATAAGATTATCAGTTGATGGTGTAATAAATGTCCCCAAAAAGGGGGGGGAATGACAGGTTTTGTTGAACTTTATCTGACTCAGATTACTGACAGCTATCAAGTAAAAATGGAAACAGTAGGTGGCACTGCTTCTCTTTTTACTGTGAATGATAGACTCACAGTGATGGGGACAAACTGACTCAGCTAAAAGTTAACAACCCAACCACTAATACTATTTGCACAGGATTGCAGGCATCCATGTGGACCTCATCTTAAATGAAAATATGAATTTGTGCACGAATACCTTTATAATTTGTCATCCATAATTCAAATTCGCTGAGGTCAACTTAGGTTATCTACTCTGAGCTAATGAATGTAGCCTGTCTGCTTGGAGACAGCTTTTCTCCACCCCCAGTAATCCAGAATAGTGAGGAAAGAGTCCCGCAGCAAAAGCAGACTCATGCTGGAGCAAACAGTGGGGTCAGGAGGAGCTATTTACATAAACATAAGAATAAATCACAAAGTAAACAAGCAGAAAACTTGAAAACTTAAATCGAGATATAAAACACTGATGGAGCTCAGCTCGTTAACAGTACTAAAACTTTTACTTTCCTTAAAGCAAAGATGGCAAAGCAGAGAATGCAGAAGAAAACAACTCTCCTTTTACAGCATGATGCAACATGGCTGAAAAGCCTTTTGTTGCTTTTTGTTCAACTGACATGCACTGTCACAACAGGCAGTGTTGGTGACGACAGCTTAGACCTCCAACAATTAGTCAGAGCCTTTCTGAACACCCATGATTGATTACAAGAGATTTGGGTCAAACCGTTGGTGTTAAGCTTTATGCTACATTGATGAGAAAACTCAAAGTAAGCAAAGTGTTATAAATTGGCAAAGATTTAAGAAGGATTGATGATTAAACTTTCAGTATGCTTTGAAAAATGCAGGCAAGGATTCACTTTAAAGCAGGATAACCATTCTTGTTTTCTTATCTAGACTATTTAGATGGAAAGTCACACATTTTGATTGCTTGTATTCAAAGGGTGCACTTACTGCAGTTTTCTAAACAATCACAATCTTTAAAAAGTCTGACCTGCAGATGCAGTTTTGGCCAATACAGATTATAAGGTCATAATACACCTTTGATGTCTTATTGAAGAAATAACACAAGCTTTTTTATCTGCACATGAGGTAGTGCTCTGAAATGTAAAGTTTATTAAAAAGAAATTCAAATTAAGGAAATTAGGGGCCATTAATCATGATCTTTTGGTCCATCACTATTTATATAGGAACACATTTTGTACATTCAGAGTATTAATAGGGACACAGCTCAGCTGTCAGAGTAAATTGATCCTCCTACTTGATGCTACAAGCAGCAGTATCTTTAATAATTGCAATTCTGTTTACTCTTTCAATAGATACAGATCCTTGCAAAAGAATATATACCCCTGGAAATGTGATTCAGAGCTCACCTGATATGAAACCAGGAGATATTTCGAACTTGGATTAAATCCAGCTATTCTCTAATCTCCTTAGAATCTCTTCAGTAATAACTGAAACATCTGCTCCAATTTGATGGGTAAACTAAATACAAGAGAATCCCAGAAGAATTCCTGTCATTGCAAAACACACAGCATGGAATATTTAAGACCTAATTCTGTGGCCAAGTAAAAGTCTAAATGCAACTGGGAATCGGTTGCATTCACAGACATGCAAATAAGTCTGGAGATGTTCGAAGCTTGCAGAGATCAATAACAGACATTGCTGTTTTCACTTTTCAATTTGTATAATTATCACAGGAGCAGAATAACAAAGTCTAGCATTTCAAAATATTCTTCCTGGTTAAAAAAAAAAGCATATTTTGGTTTGACATAAACTATTAAAACATTAAGTAGGAAAATTATAATTTTGAGCTTCTATTCTTATTACATTTTTTACTTTTAAATTGTTAAATATCTTTAACAATAATGACTGTATTATAAAATACTTTTATAAAAGGGGCTGAACAGTACAAGAAAATAAGAGGGAATTTAGAACAATACAGATAATAAACAAATAAGCAAAAAGCAGAATTTAGGAAAAATAGGACAGAGTAAACAAGTGGGTCTTAAAATGAGCAATAAAAACCTGCACAGAATCCACCGGCCGGATGCGCAGAGGAGGGTCGTTCCACAGGAAAGAAGCACGAAAAGAGAAGGCGCACTCACCGACAATGTTTCTTCGTGCTTTAGTGATTTTAAAAAGGCATGTTCCTTGAGATCTAAACGCTTGAGGAGGGACATATAAGTGCTGAAGTTTCGAGGGGTAATAGGGCAGCAGACGATTTAAAGGCTTGTAGGTGAGCAACAGGATCTTAAAGTCGGCTCTAACATGACAAGGCAGCCAATGGAAGGATAAAGGGAGCAACGGAGCATTAAAGTGATAGATCTGATTTTCTGCTGCACAGGTTTCAAGATCTGGAAACTAGGAATACGTTGGCTTTTTTTTTGGTTTCTATAAAAACACTTATGTTTTTCTCTTATTACAAGTGATTTAAAGAAAATATGCATATTTTTGCAGTTTGGAGGTAGAATAAAATCAGTAACATAACCAGAGTCAGCTAGTGTGTACTTACATGGGCTCCATATACATATTTATCCAGCATTTTCCCCCCTAATGTTTGGCCTCCAATGTCCCACACCTGAAGAGTCACATTCAAGTTACCTGGAATAAAAATATGACACAGAAATAAAAAATAATGAAATCAACATGACCACATGTACTAAAAATGCACCATCTAATATTCCAAATAAATAAGAGTTAGTGGCTTAAATGTTCAAAAATCTGGATTTTTATTCCGTTCATGACATTCAATTAAATTAAGATATTTCACCATTTTAGTGTATATAACACATCAAAAAATATGTACTCTGCTGCATTTTTTTATCTAATAAGTCAGATTAAAGAGACTTTGATTAATAATTCTGCTATTCCTTCATTTTCAGTTTCTTTATTTATTCTTTATTCTTTATTTTTACTTCTGAAAAAAAGGAACAAAATACTTTTATCATGTTCATTCCACTCCTTAGAATAAAAAGTTGAAATTGGATGGACAGAAGTAAAAGAAAACTTGAAATCTGCATCGGTTAGGCAAACACTAATTGCTCCATTACTTTTTAAAAATCAATGTTTGATTTAAGAGTTATGTGTTCCTTTAATCCTCTGTCAGCTAATATGATCAAACAAAAACAGAAAGGGACAAAATATGACATGTCTGTCATTTAAAGATTTCTTTCCAGGATTCTTTTTCCTTAAACATCATAATTCTGTGGAAATAATGGATCAACTCTAACCACAGCCTGGACTTTCCAAACAAGCATTTTTTTTTTGTTATATTTGAATTTTTAATATATAAAAAAGCCATAATTACTCTTTCATGCAAAGGGCTCTTAAACTATCAGATCAAGGGGATGAATATGTTCGCCTACCCTCTAATTTTCAAAGTCTCAATACACTAGTTGTAAGAAAATGACTTTATATTTGCCCGGGAAACGTTGTTTGTGTTGCACCATCTCCTGCCAAGACGGTAAAGTGAGGAGAATTATGCACAGTTGAGGAAAGTCACAATAATTAAACGCAATATTAAAGAAATGGGAAGACTGTTCTGCTTATGCCTGTGGAAAGAGAAAAGAAGAGCTGAATCACGGGAAGTGAGAGAAAGACTAGAAACCAAATAAATATTTTCTTCCATTGGAAAAGGACTTAGAAAAAGAAGAGGGAGGTCCGGACAGTGGAGAGTTTATATTTGAGCGATGAAGGCGCTGCGCTGGCCCTGCAGCGCTGATGAGATGGGGGCGCATGCTATGGACCCCCTTTAAAAGTCCTCCTTTTAAATAAAAGGACGGAAACATCAAGGTTCACAGTCGCTTCATCTAGACTATACACTGTCAATGTCAGGTTACGGCCAGAAAGGCATGAATTACGGCTTTTTTTGTGTGTCATAAAGAGCCATCCCCACCCACCCAGCATGCTCAGACACCAGCTTTATTTGTGTTTAAAAAAGATTCATGCTGACTCGACAGAGCTGGTGTGTGTTTGCATAAGTACAGCAAGAAGCACAATATGCAACGGTGAGAAATACTAAAACTAGACTTTCACCGATCTGGTTTCTGATGTTCATTATTTTTGTTCATCTTTCTGGTCTGATCTGCTGATTGCATTTTTTTATGGAACAATAGCACATTAAATAGAAGAAACTTATGTTAATTGTTTGATTATGGTTAAAAATAAAGAGAATCACAATTTTGTATTTGTTCATAAATCAAAGAGTTTTAACAAAGTGGGGAAAAAAGAGAGCAAGAAAGGCATACCCTGCTGTTTAATACCTTTATAGTCTAAAAATGGGGGGAGCTCCTGGTTTTAAAGGTTTTTATAGAAAGAAAATCTGATTTTTCCCTATCTGAACAATAAATCACCCGTTGACAGTCGATCCATAGCTGTTAGTAACGTCAAACAGAAAACATGTAGCTAATATCACCATCCTTTATTGGATTTGATGTGAAGAAAAATACCCAATAGGTCTGACAGACTTTATCAAGTAGATTTCAGCTCCTGTCAGTCCCCTACACAGCCTGTACCTCACGGCTTTGGCAGGGACATCTGGAAGAGGTATTGTTATAAAAAGCACACACAGAGGAGGTTGTTGTGAGCCAGTCGGCCTCGCCCCACCTCTGCCTGCGTTGGAAAATGTACATTAAGTTTGACAAGCTGGGCCTTCATGGGGAGAGGGGCCAGCGCTGGCTATACGCTACTCTCCCCCCTGCAGCAAAAGGCCCTTACAGCCAATAGAGCCCCGCACAATTTCTCCGATCCAAGGGGGTCCATACTAAATTTGGGACCACCCAGCTTGAGGAGCCGCTCTCCTCTTCATCAGCTCATCAACACCCAATTCCCCAGAAAATGGGCCATTTAACAACTGGGGTGTTGAATCCAGCTTTGTTGCCGCCCTAGTGATACAGATGTATGAAATCTATATTAAAGAGGACCCAACAGTTTAAAGCTGGAAGGACACTGAGTTTTTAAAAAGAAAAAAAGGGAAACTGAATAGAGAGTAGAGGTCATACAATTAACAGCATTTGTTCATATTCATGTTAAGGAGCTGAGCCCAGGCTATGCTTTTAGTTGGCTCTTTTCAGCCAGACTTCACCACAACATTTTTGGGGGTTTAGTTCTCCTAAGCCTCGTGAGCTGAAACGGACACAAAATCAAAACAGAATCCCTTCTGCCAACTCACGAATCAGCATGACTTTTACTTTTAGCACTTAATTTGCCCTCGCTTGATGTTGTTTTATTAGTAATGAAAGAATGGAGCCACTTTGCAGATTTCTGGATCTTAAGTTTTGGCCAAGGATAAATAAAAGCCATTTAAAACACAGAAAATCCCCAATTTAAGAAAGAAGAGTTAAAATAGGAGGTGGTCTCTCAATCAATTTGTTTTTAAGAAGTGAGGAAAATGCAGAGAAAACTTCCACTTTAGTTTGTTAAACAGAAACAAAAAGCAATTAACAAATATCAACTATATTTTAGAATTATATGAAAACTATATTTTAATTTATACTGTGTTCAAAAATTTGGGCATAAATCTGCTCACTGGGGTTGTGGAGTGCAGAAAGAAATATGCCGTTTGCTCAAAAGAGGAGAGCTTTCAGAGTGAATAAGGCTGAGAAATGGCAGACACTGGACAATGAGGAACTAGCAGAAAAGTCACATTCAGCTCCCGAAAGAACGTTAATGAAAAGCTCTGCCTCATAATGAAAAGAGAGAAGAAATAAGTGACAGAGACTGATGGGGAACAACCGGCATCTTTGTGTCATCAGTGTTTCTATTAAAGTTGAGCTTATCCAAAGTAAATACAAACGCTACAATGCTCGTCCTCTGCGTTTTGCTCAACCCTGAAGTCAGCCAGTTGTGCAACACATGTCTGTGCAGTGTCTGGAAATGAGACGTGCTCCCTAAAGATTATGAAGGTGTCTCACCTGGAAGGCTTATTCTCTTCAGAAAGAAATCCAGGCCGATAGTTTGTTTGTACTGCTTCCCAAAGGCCTCCTGTGCAAATCTAGTGGCGAGTGATGTCTGAAACAGAACGACAAAAGAATAGACATAGAGAGTTAGTGCCAGACATCTCTCCTGTTATCAAAAGGATTCAAAATATTCCCCTCCAAACAGTTATGGCTTCAAAGAATGATTTAAGGATAGAGGAGAAGTCTTTATCCAGAGCATGTGATTTGTTTAATTTTATGTCTATGCATCAAAGCGTGGCACAGGGTGAAAAGGGACATGTGGTGATAACTTCCCAGTGAAAATAAACTGAATATTTAAGAACTTCCTGAGATGGTGATATTTTGTCCCGCTGATGAAACGGCAGGCTGTTATTTTTTTAGGAATTATTGCGTTTTAAAATATCCATAGAATACAAGAAGACTACAATTCTCTGTGGCTCTTTTCCAGGAAGCCATGCGGCCATAATTAATTAGAAATGTATCCTGCAATGACTGTGCTGCAAGACCTAATGTTCATCCTTCAAATCTGTCAAAAACCGATAGATTTAAAGGGTCACTGACGTATTTTTCTGCCTCCTGAACTGTGGGAGTGACAGTCCAAATCACAGTAAATGACAAAAACAGGTGCCAGAAAATGTGACGTGTCGCTGGACTGACGAGCTAATAATTGCCCAAAATGATTAGACTTCCATCACTGTCATTGTCCTGTTTGAGAAAGGGGGGGTATATAGCATGTTAGGGGCTCTCCTAAAATCCGTGGGAATTCATAGCGCAGTTAGTACATGCCAGCTGTAATTCATTTTGATGGATGAGCTTTAGGAGAGAAAAAAAAAATCAGAGGTGAATGTCTATCAGCTATCTTTAGAGCAGTGTGCTTACATAAACACCGCAGAGAAGTGAAGCAGTAGGATTCCCTCAGTGTTCATGAGTGTCAGCAGCTGAATTTTAATGTGATTTCTGACAATCACTGCCGGGAAAGGGATTTAACATGAGACTCTTTCTTTCAGTTCGCTAAGCTTTCAGCTAAGCCTTCGCCCTTTCCCGCTTAAAGGCTTTAGATTTAGTCTAATGGTCTTGCAAATATTCTAGTGTGTCTTTCAGATTAATGAAGTTAGAGGCAGTGTAATATAAAGTAAATAGGATAACCTCTTAGGATGGCTTAGGGAAGCTTTTTAGATAAATAGAAATGTGCTTGGCTTTTCTACATCTGCAAATTTGTCTCTTCAGTTGAAGTTAGAGACGTATCAATCAACTGACCAGCGAGCTAATTCAAATCTATCATTAAATTCCCTTAAACAAATACATTTTTAGAAATCCTAATCTATTTAATACACAAATAAAATCAGGAACTCCAACCACTGAGTCCTTAAACACATCAACCAACAGGATTTAGTGCAAATCAATGTTCTTTTGTATGTTACTCATAAAATACTGGAATCGGCAGGACTTTAAAATAAGGTGGAATTTAGAATCAGCCAGGAAAAAACAGATCAGGGCATCTCTAGTTAAACTCCTAACATTTAGTCCACACTGACGTTTCACCTGTAATATTCCAATAAGTCTAAGATATTTATTCACATATTTCTTTCTAATTTGCTCATTTGCTTTTTTTTTTTTTTTTTATCATGCGGAGGAGAGCATGTCACAGTCTCAAGTGTAAAGGAGAAATTACTAGGGATGACTGACGTAACAAGGAGAAAATCAGTCGTTTAAGTAGCTCAAACAATCACTGACAACATAAAACTAACAAGCCTGGACTGCAGAAATGCATTCCACATGCTCGCGTCGGGCCTGTTGGCCGTTTCTCCTGGCACTGCAGTAGCTCGCCTCTCTTCCTTCAACACGGTTCTTTTTCTCTACGCTTCAGCTGGAACAAACCAGTAAATGTAATGATTGGCGTAATTCTGACACTCAGAACAGCACAGGGTCACCAATGATACGAGTGCCGGGAAAATGGGGGCAGAAACTCGGAAAAGCGGAAAAAAAAAAAAACATGGCACACTGACAAAATATTCCTGTGATACAACAAAAGTGTCTCTATTTTATCTCAGAAAATTTACAAGAGATAAAAATGTTGTCTAGCTTACAGCTTATCAATCTATTATTGTATCAACTCTATATCTTATGGTCCTTTTTGTCTTATTGGTCACGGCAAATACGGCAAAAAACAAAGCAGCAAATATTAAGGAAATACTGAGTCTTCTACCTCAGGTTAAGAAATAGAGCAGTGTGTAATTTCAGCCCAGCGTCTTAAGAGTCTGGCTAAATGTGAGACTCCAGATTTTAAAAACATCTCACTAAGGTGCACAAGTCTCCCCACATCTCCCTGTATTCTGAATGGACAACAAACCGCAAGCTGAAATACCACTGAAAACGCTGTCCAAGAAAAACTGATCCGATTGCAATTTGCTCAGCAAATTGACATTAATAAGGGGGGAAACGGCATTCAAGATGTCAGTCAGGGGTGCCTAGTCAAAATGGGGGGGTAGGGCTGCTGTTTTCTGTCCAAAAGACAAGCAGGTAAGTCATTGAGACAGAGACGAGCTGACACCTGGGAGGACTGCGAGCGGGGGTTATTAATGTAGCGTATCTACAAGGAGTTGAGTGTGTGTGCGAGAGTCAAAGTGAACGCAGCACTGCCCAAAAGAAAACGTCGACTTTCTGGAATGAGAACGCTCATTTTTCTCTACAAGTCTTGCTATTACAGCACCATTCATTTTCTACCTTCTAAAGGAGGAGGAGATTAGTTACAAAAAGGGGATGTGTGGCTAAAAAAGCACTTGACAAGCCCGTCTGAAAATCACATTCAGTGGGGGATTCAAGATGCAGCGAAGAAGAAATGTGGCTGAATTGTCATGGCAACCTCCTCGCTTTACTGCAAATGATTGTTTAATTTAACAAGGAAAAGAAAAAGAGAGAATCCCCTGTAGTTAATCTAGGCTCTGCCTTTTTTTCCAGACTCAAAAATAAATCTGTGTAGCATTGGTGAAGCTAAACGGAACATAACACTGTGAACAATTGTATGCGTTCAAAGTAAAAAACCTAAGCAATGTGAAAAAAATAAAACTTTGGATGTTAGCAGCCAAGTGTTGTCTGAACTTGTAAAAACAAAAGCCTGACGCGACAAACATTTTCTTAACTGAGGCCCCTCCCTAGTGCCATATGCATATGAGGCTTGCAAATACATTTGCCCAGAGATCTGCTGATGGAAAGCGTTTCTGAGGGGTAAACCTATACACCGACCGGCCAATACTAGCTTTTTTTTTCTCAGCATTAGCCCATTCATCTATGCCTTCAGAACACTTGAAGCACACGTCGCTCTTCCTACATTTGCCCTCCATTTTTAAGGCTTTCTTTGATTTGCTACTCAAGTTTTCTTTTTCTATTTAAAGCAGGACTTGAGTAACATTTGATCTGTTTTTTTTTTTTTCTCTTTGATCATGTACATTTTTCAAGAAAAAGCAATATTGACCTTAAAGACATGGGAGATCAATAAAGCTGAGAAATAAATAATTGGTATCAATTCCATCTCTAGCAAGAGATAAATCTCTCTAAAAAACCAAACATCGAAACAGAATTTATTGATTAATTAAGTCATAAAAATATTTGTTAACAAGATTTTTGAATGATTGTTGAATTTTTGAACCAGAGGCAAATCATTTACTATCCTCTAGTGCGAAGTTCCTCAAGTCAGTTGGGGGGGGTCACAAGATCATTGTGATGCTGAATTATATGGAGGGCCAACATGTGTCGTGAAATACATAAATGTAAGTGCAACACTAAACAAATTCATATGTAGATATTATTAAATATTACAGTAAAAATACCATGAAATCACACAATGCACAATAATTTGATTTCCAACTGAATCATTACAAATTAGCTAAAAAACGATGGAATAAATGTCATTTTAGAAAACAAACGTATGTAAAGATGAATAGAATTACTTCACTCTACATTTGTATATAAATAGAGTAAAGTAATTATGTGTATTTTAAGTGGATCACTAGTGTGCAGTACTTTTATTTCTGGTGTCAAATCTGAAAAGTTTGAGAACCCCTGTTCTAGTGTACTTATGGAATAATATGGAATAATGGCAGGGAAAACTTCTGAGTTTTTTTAGCAACAGATTAACAGCCAAGGCTACCAAATGTGCATTATATATAAATATTACATGTTACTTATTCTGAAACTCTTGCTACAATCAGTGATGTTATATTGTTGGTTTGGAGGATGGTTGGTATAATGTAAAAAAAATTTACTGAATTAACCATGAAATTATTTTTTAGGGTAATAATACATTTTGCCACACTTTTTACCCTATTTTTTCCTTAACTTATTTTATGCAAATTAATTTATGCAAAAGTAATGTTAATTTTCCTAAACAAACTTTATTACCAACGTTATCAATTTGAGCTAGTAATACTGCTAGATTAATCTGTACTGACACCTGGAAATCTGATGTTTCCCTGTTAAAATGTGTGTGCTGGATTGTGTAAGTTGCTCGGCTCTTTGCACCAGTACTCAATGTTCAAACCAGAAAACCCAACAAGAGCAGATGTACTGTAGGTACCAAACCTGGTCGGGTGGTCAGATTTGCTCGGGTCCCTGCCCCTGCTGATGATGTCACTATATGGCAACCCCACTCAGACCAACTGTATTGCACCAGTTTCTTAAGAATAAAATCTCTTCTGGAGTCTCAACTTACTTTTACCGTACCTATATTTGCTATTATTTTACCTTTCTTTGGTGACCTAAAGTAGTTGAAAGTAGAATACAATCATTCTCAGTCTTGAAGGCAAGTACTGTGTTCTAAGACAGACTGAGGTCTGACATTTAAGAATGTGACACAAAAAGTCTCAGTGCTTCTTTTAATTAAGAGCTGAGGGCAGTTCATAGAACATCTTAAAAAACTGACTGGAGATTTTAGACAAAGAAAACAACTTTTATTCTAGTTTGTGGAACTTGAACGGTTGTTGACACAAAGTTAAAAAGTCGCGTAGCTTTCTGTGGGTAACTGACCGAGCTAAAAGATGCTAACCGGTTAGCTACTGAGCACAGCTAGCCACAGCGCTTCCCTGCTCTCCCCCTTTATATCATGGTCTTGAAGTTACTTTGTTCACCATAAACAGACTTTTTTAGTTTTGTTATCCGTCAGGTAAAACTTCATCGGTCATTAGACATGCTAACACTACAAATGCTCCCCACTCAGCACATGGATGCTGTATTATGTTATGATCTTTGTCCAGGCAACCACAGTGTTTTAAGTCATTGTGGAAACTTTCAGCCAATCATAGTGTAACGTCACTAGCATGCGCAGGGCCTGAGCAGATCTGATAACCACACAGGCTCTCCACAAGATGCAATTCTGGTTAAACTCCTTTATTTACACTATGGTGGAAGGATGTTAACATTACCCTGCCTTCCTACGACCATTCCCATCTCTGTTCCACCAAAATTGGTGATTCCAACAATCGGGGACTCACCTACAGTCAGCGAATGTTGCTATTTTTAGCTATTGTGTAGGAGACAAGGAAACAATGGTAGACGAACTATGGCAAACTGCTAATGTTTCTAACACTACATCCACATACACACATATTGACACAAGTCAAATTCTCCTTCGTACCCTCACAAAAAAGGGGTCTGAAAAGGTGTCCAAATGAGACTAAAAGTGATGAAACATGCATTTCAAAAGAGGTACATTTCAAAAAGCCTATAAGTAAAACTTATGACTCCTTTAAACCTGTTACCCGAAACATATTTTTGTGCGACTCACATAACTGAGCAACCTGAAACAGAAATTAGATTTAGTATCTTAAAAGACAGTTTGAGTTTTTCATAATGATATTTTGATCATTTTGATGTAGGTTTACTACTTTATTTTCCACAGCTTTTGTAGTCTAGAGGTAATAAAGATGTTTCCTCTACTGCATAAGCTGACTAGCTTTCAGTAAATCGGGGTTATTACAAGAAACAAAGTTTTGTTCTTTTTATTCATTTATTTTTTTTAAACATGAGACCTTCTTTACATCATGTGAATGTTGGAGATTAGACAGCACATTTTTTCCTCTGCAGTTATTGTACAGGTGATAAGAAATCCTTATCCAAAAAAAAACAGAGATTAGCTTCACTGACCTTACATTTTATCACAATTATATGTGATATCAACTGAAGGAACAATGGAAAGTATTTCCAAGACTTTCTTAAAGATTAAAAAAAAAATAGCAATTAGCACATCGACTACCTCGGGAATAACAGATTAAGTCAGTTGTGCAAATGGGCTGTATTAATTCATATTTTGAAGTTATAATGCAAATTTTCTGCACACAACACATGTTCCAACATCAAAAACAATCCAAATCCTAATAGTTTTTGAGAAGTGCAAATGTTTATGTTGGAGTTCACTGTCATTATCAAGGTTGTCTACATCTCGTCCCACTGATTTACTTTCTGATTATTTCCTTTATGCTATTGGGTAGTATAGTTCTATATACAACACTAATGTTATAAGATATTATGGCAATCTACATTGAATTTAAAAAAGGGAATCAATAAAGGGGAAATTAGCTCATGCTGAAACTTAATTTCCCTTGGAATCAATAGAGTATTTTAAGTTGAACTGAATTACAAACAAAATTAAACTTTTAGCGGTTATATACAACAAAGATTTGTTTTTCAAATTAAACTTTGAAGATTTAATGTTAAAATTGATTCCCAGAAAGGTATGAGTAGATTACATGTCTACTAAGCTAAAAGAGAACATGTCTTATAAACATTGTTATATATAGGAAAATCTGGAGGTTTTGAATGTTATTCAATGCAGACAGTTTTTGTTGGGTTTTTTTTAGAATTTTAAATAGGTCTGTCCAGCTATATTAAAGCATTTTTCTATCAAAGAGAGAACTGGAGGTTAAAAAAAAAAAAAAAAAAAGATGATGGCATAATGCCATTTAGACATAGAGCTAAGGTGGATGCTGTCAATCCAAGAATACTAATCCTGAAATTGTTTAGTTAAAACTACCCTTTAGGGCTCTTCTTTGAGAACCCAAAATGACATTTAGACAGCATTCAAAACTCGCTGAATATATATTTTTGCTTTGATATTCTGTTTTTGACATTTCTCCTTTTATCATTGTTTTGTTATTTTTATCATTTATCCACTCATTCTTCATAGTCTAAATGTTATGCCATCAGTCTGCAAAAGGTTATAAAGTTAAATTAGGCCAAATTTACCATATTTACATGCTGTATGGATGACCATTTTTAGGCACACTGATCATTTGAAATTAATTAGCAAACAATGACATTGTTCTTTGCTCGCACGTGCTACAAAACATGGACCAAATGTGAATCAGCACATTTATCTGCATTTATTTCGCAGTTTATTGGTAACTATATTTATCTGATGTATCCGATTACTATCTCACAACTGAATAAAACTGATATTTACAAGTAGGCCGATTAAACGAGCGTGATCGTTTTAGCCAGTTAAGCTAGGTTAGCGTCGGTCTCCATGGCGACCAGGCGAGAGCAGCAGCGTCAGCAGAAGCGCGAGTTTGTTGCTATTTGCAAAGAGTAAACGATGTAAAACATTATGTCGGTGTGACGATACAACTCCCAGCCCTAATTTCTAACGATAAATCTTGATTAAGTCTCTTGTGTATTTGGGGTTTACCTTCCCACATGCTCCATCTCCAACCACCACTATTTTAAGCTGCTTGTCCTGGCTGTCCTCCTCCGAGTCCGACATGACAACGCGTGTGCTTCAACCTGCCTGAATCCAAAACGCTCGGTAACCAGTTACAGGTTGCTGTCGGAGTAATCACAGATGGATTAAAGCCGAACTGAGTGGAGAACCAGACGCCATTTTGACTCAATAAAGGCAGGCTTCAGCTGCTCTCCCTTCGGTATGACCCACTAACGAGCCGCAGCCGTTATCGTCTCTCTGCTGAGAAAAAAAACACGAAAGGAAAAACAGCCTCGGAGCCACGGCTTGGCATGTCAGTCTGTAAACACGGTTAGAATCTCCATGAAGCCTGTGTGTTCGCAGGAAACTGTTCGAACCGGAAATAGAATCCCCGGCGCGTGCGGTCCACCTGGTGCTGTGTGTGGCTGCGTGCGCGTGACGTTCTGTCGTTGCCATGATAACAGAAGACGAAGTGAAGTAGTGAAATTGGGAAAAGGCGAGCCAACCTCATAGGAAGAAAAGTGGTGTGCGCGTTTTTTACGTTGCTTAGATGTTCATTATTGCCAGAATTACATAAACCAAACATTTTCAGCTGATGTCTCTGCATGTTTTATGAAATGTTTGTGCAGTAATAAACAATAATCGAACCAAATTAAACCACCCTAACCTAATTAGCATTTTTAACACACCATTTACAATCATCTCTCTGTTTCAAACCATTGTTTGCTCTTTCAGTATGACAAACTACTGGTGAAAGTGTTAAAATAAAGATAGAATTAGATGGGAAGAGTATCAAAAAAAAGTAAGAGTTGCATTTCTTCATTATGGATTTACTCAAGTAAAAAGTAGTGATCTAAATGACTCAAGTTAGAGTAAAAAAAACTTTGGTAAAAAGACTACTAAAGTATTCAGTAACTGATCTACTTGCTATTTTTAGTTTAATATTTCAAAGATTAAGTAAAATTACACAAAATTATATGCAAATTCTGGAGTTTCAAATCATGAGATCAAAGATAGATCTATAAAATAGAAGGACAAAAATAAAATCAAGTGGAAGAATTATATTTTTCTAATATATTGACGCTTACAGTAAGTTTTGCATATAGGTTTGCATAGGGCCGCGGTTCTCAAAGTGTGTGGCGCGACCCACTGGTGGGGAATTGAGACGTGACAGGTGGGGCGCGCCAAGTTCCGGTGTGTGTGTGTGTGTGTGTGTGTGTGTGTGTGTGTGTGTGTGTGTGTGTGTGTGTGTGTGTGTGACTATAAATGTAGAATGTGTGAGAGCAAACTGTCCTTATAGCTGTATGTTGCCGCTTTTTAGACCAATCAAACCCACAAAGTAATCATTACTAGCCTACATGCAGTCTAATTAAAAGAACATTAGATATGAGAAAAATTTCACCTGGAACTGAAGTGCCAAAATAATGATTGACGTGACGTCGGCATATTATTTGTAACAGAATAAACTTTCGCGCCCCAGTGTTGCCAACTCAGCGACTTTGTCGCTATATTTCAGACCCCTCCAGCGACTCTTTTTCAAAAAAACAAATCTAGCGCCTTTTGGAGACTCTTACGTGAAAGCACGTATCGGTCCTTTTCTTGTCCTCCAGCGGCAGGTGCTGCCGTGGGGCGCCTCCCCCGTCCCAACCCCGTTCTCCCCCGCTATTGCAGGAGTCCCTATCAGCGCTGCAGTCAGAGCAGAGACACAGCATGTTTAACTTTTGCGTCCAGACTGCAAATAAAGCGCACATGCGCCGGGATTGACGGCGCAGGTTGATCATAAATAACTGAATTTGAAATATTTTATCTTAAATAAATAACGGCGTTTGATTCACACAGCCACATGTTCATGTTTCTGGTTAGGAGTGGAGAGCGAGTATCCACTCATCGGGCAGAGAGCTGTGTGCATTCTTCTTCCCTTTGCCACATCATATCTCTGTGAGATGGGCTTTTCAGCTGCTGCTTCAATGAAAACAAAATACAGATCTCAGCAGAACATTGAGCATGACTTGAGAGTGGCAGTATCAAGCCTGCAACCCCGTTTTGAGAAACTGCAATGCAAAACAGGCTCATTGCAGCCACTAATGCAGGGATAAATAGACCTGTCTTGCCAGATGGATTTCACTTCTTTTCTTTTATTAACAGATTGCAGAGTGGCACTTTAATTTTTTCTATCTTTGAGCTTGATACAAATTTTGACACAGCTGCATTTTTATTTTCTTTATTTTTGAGCTTGCTGTTATTTGATGTAGATTTGTATTTAGATACTACTTGTTACTTCAATAAAATTGGAACATTTTAAGATTGTTGAATATTTCATTAGCATTGTGTTGGGGCGATGGGGACAGGCGGGGCTTGAAAATTCCCCCTTGTCCAAAGTGGGGAATGACAGAAAAAGTTTGAGAACCACTGGCATAGGGTGAGTTACTTCCAGTAACAGGATGCTGCATGTTGTATTTTCCTTTAAACTCCAAATGAACCAGCAGGATAAGCATAAGCTGTAGGTGTGTACCTCACTGATCCATTTTCTTTAAAACAAAATGTTGTTGTTCTCAATTCTGTAAAGTTATATGATTCATACAATATAAAGATCGACCAATATAGGATTTTTAATACCAATCCCGATATCAATTATTTTGCCATCAGTCTACTCAATCCCTGATATGTGCTGCCAATACTTTTGGGACGATCTGTGAAAACGATCTAGCTTTTTCATACACTGTTACATTGTAAAGGTTTCACACTGATTAAAACTGTTGAATTAGTGTTAGGCTATCTTTAACACTAGTTTCAATTCAAACAAAAAAAAAAAACATTAATTTACAAATCAAGCAAAATATTAACAATGGATAGCAAATGTATGGAATGGCAGTGTATCTAAGGAAATGGCTGCTCGAATGTGCTAAAATATCTGCAAACGCATGCATGTGTCAGCCAATGCAAGAAAAAAAGCACTAGTATCGTACAGATAGATCTATCTCTAATAGAGTGGTTAGAAATTTTGCTTACACAATAGCTGTGATACTTCATTGTATTTTTACTCCATTAAAACTATAAAGTACAGTGCAGTAAAACTGCTCATAAATTCGTTTTTTAGTTACTTAAATAAATGTAACTGAGGGAATAATTAAATTCTACAAACCATTGGATTTTCTAATGTAAAAAGTATTTTCTACAGGCTTTAACATTTCACTGGCCCTTTGGTGGGAGTCTTATGGCCTACATGCTCATAAGAATCAAAGAGATATTAAAAAAGATGAGTAAGAAAAAAAGGCTTTCATTAAACTATGTCATTCCTCCTTTCTTTAAGCTTCTGTATTAACATCCTGATAGCAGTGCAACATAATGGGGAGGACGGGTTGGTTAAAGCAGTTACTGTAAATGATAAACATATTAGACTTCTAGTTAAAATTAAAACTATGCTGGTGGCTAGGGAGGAAATGTCCAGCCCTATACCACATAATTTACCCATGTGTACCTCACCCAACCCACCATCAAATGCCTCCTTAGGAAAACAATGTTATGCTCAGCTTTCTTTAAATATAAACCTTAGGGAGGATGTATATTGAAAACTTTGTATTTTTAGTTAGGCATGTTTTTCTGTTGTTCTTCTTCAGTACAATCCATTTTAATCCCTGTGAATAACTCTTAACCTCAGCCCCAACTCACCGATTAGTAATGACATGTTAATAAAGCTCCTAATTTTATATGGTGTTAGGATTTGGTGTGCTATTTCTGGACCACCAACGATTTCCATCTGGCCGCCCCATTTGAAAACCTTTGGAAGACACATGGCATTAATATCTATGTAAGTTAGTCCGTTGCAAAGGTATAACAGTGTCATTTGTTGTTTGTTTTTTAAATAAAGTGATTATTTTATTCAAAAATTAATAAATGTTTAATTTATGTTCATACATATATTTTAAACAGATTTAGAATAGGATTGAATATTAAATATATGTAGATTTAAAAATCCAGCTCTCTTTCACATGTCTATTCCATGATCAGTTTCATTGTGAATAGACACTGCAAATTCAAATATTACTTTTTTTTCTTATTTGTACTTTGATGCTAAATCAATCAAGTCTTTGGGAGAGAAAGAGGTTCGACTGTCTATCTTGAACTGAAAGGGTGGAAATTCTCAACAAAGTGTCTTGAAGTCATCACGTTGATTGTGAAACCAGGTGCCAAGCTTCAGAAGAAATTCTCTGGGATGCTGTTTATAAAAAGGATTTGCTTCATGTCAATGAAATCGCACAGGCTCGCATCAGCATTAAGTCTGAGGAGAGGTAACAAACTCCAAGGCGATTATGAAGGATTTTAGCCCAATGTATTGTAAATATATAGAGCTCTTTAGAAATCCTTTGGCATGGCAAAGACAAATATTTTCGCAATAACTTGCAGCAGCTTTTAAAGGGAGGATATTTAATTACATAGTTTTGTTTTGCCATCATTTTAGACAATTCACATCATTCTAATGTTTATTTGATTTAAAAAAATTGTCTTGAATACTAGGCATACTTCAGAAATCTGGATTCAAAGTTACATTTTGTGAACATATTTCACCAGCAAATTACAATAAATATCACATAAGTCACTTTACAAAATACAAAAATTAAATTTCAATAAGAAAAAAAAAAAAGAATCTTCAAAATGATGACTACTGGTACAACAAAAACACATCTATATCTTTAAATTGGGAATTGATGACACTATGGTGATCTCCTCCAATAGCTGCTTTTTCTCTTTTTAGTTTAGGGCATTAAATGATACCTAAAAAATTCAGCCAGAGCCTTGTAGTTCAAGCTCTTTTTAAAGCACCCAGCTGTTTTTCAGCAGCGTAGTTTTAAAAAGGATGACCCATGTTGTCCAGAAAATGAATCTACACCTGCAGGAGAGGAAAGGAAAGGATTCATGACATGCGTTTAAAAGAGATGTTATAAATTGAGGTAAATCTGTAATAAAACTGCAGATTGCAGTTAATAACACAAACAATAAAAAACTAAGTTTTTTATATCTGTATCAGAGAAACAACACAAGGACTGCACAATAACAGAATATGATTTAAAAATGATTTAGTTTTAAGATGGATAATGGTATTTTCTCATGTTTTTTTTTTTTTTGCAAGGCTTCACATTGTTATTAAATTATTTTATTCTAGGTAAAACCCACCTAAATGCTGACAAATAAACTTACCCAAATTGTTACAAATCTCTAGATAATTTAGAAAAACATCTGGAAAAAGATGTTGTCAATTTCCCATTTAGCCTTCTCCCATATTTTCTTTGCTTTTTAAATGCATTACTGAAATACTTCTCAGTATTTTTGAATGAGCTAAACGTGTTCTATGTCTTTAAATTATTAGTACTGAACAAGTAGAGTAACACTTAAATAATCAAGTAGATCCACATGAATATTGCTTCATGGAGACATTCTCTAAGATATTCCAGCTGTTTATTTTATGCTTGTGCTGATTTTTTTTTTTTTTAATGGTGGTTATGGGTCCAGGCGTACCATGCACCAAATTATGTTCATCAAGCTAAATAAACAAAATCTAAATAATTACACTTATCTTGCATTTAATTATTGTTTTACCACCATATATGACAATAATTTTCTATCAAAAGGCAGTATATAAGATAAATCTACACATAAACAAAGACAGTGTTTAGAATAACAAACGCTTCTTAGCAAAAACACTGAAAAATAGTGCCTCCTTTTCTTGCATATAATCTTATTTGGTTATTTTAAAACAAAAGTCCCATGTCCTACCCTTCTGAAACAATTGTGTTAAAGTAGTCTAACTAAATATTCGTAAGTAGATGCAAAAAAGGATGCATCGTTTTGAAGTCAAGGTGAAAAAAATTCAAAATATCTCTCGCAGGAATTTTCTTCAAACAAATATCTTGCATCTAGAAACTAGTTTTATTTGCAGAGCGTCTGGTAGCCTGTATCTTACAGATATTGCCCCACAGGATAAAGCGCGCAATGAAAAAAAAAAACGGGGAAACAGAAAGTTAATGGATTTTAATAGGGGTGTTTGCGTTTTAAATAACAAGGCTGACAGAAAGACCAGCTCCTATATGTCCCTCTGTATCAGATTTATCCACATGCAGGTATCCGGTCTACTCTATCACTACCTGCTGTTTCCATTGATGCTCTCATAGCTGCATTAAACTTTAGAGACGTGAGGCTGTGGTGCAATAAAAGATAGAAAATCAGTTGGTTCGCATCTGAAACGGACAATATGAGGATTTCAGTTTTCAGTGTTGCACGGCGGCTCCCTTCTGACCCCAACTTAACACTGCAATGCTGTAAATATTTACAGCTTATGCAACTCCTGCAATATTTCAATTTTAGTATAAAGACTTTAAACCGTGCAGAAAAAGGGGTTAAGTTTTTTTTTCCGCATGAATACAAAAAGCCCGCTTAGAGGGCCAAAAGAGAAGCCAATTCTTTCTTAAATGTATGATGGGACTCCTTAACCCCGGAATACTCCTCTGCTTGTGTTGACATATAGCCGTAAAGGTAGCTGTCAGGAATCACAGAGCCATTTATCATGGTCTGACAGGAGGAAAGCCACCATGGCTCAGGTGAAATCAAATCGCTCAGGGGTTTTATTATGAAGAGACATAAGGGGGGAATAAATGACACTAGGTTTGTTCAATTAATTCTAGTTTTTTTATGTGAAACTAGTTGGTGTGTTGGTATAGTCACTGATGGATTTACAGAGAAATCAGTTCAAGACATGGAAATTAAGTAACCAAATGAGCTCAGTGTTTAGGTCACAATAGGTGTGCGATATAGGTTAAACTAAAGACTATATAAAAGGACAGGAAATAAAGTTTAACTAATCAGATTGTTCTGTAAAGAAAAAAAAAATGCACCAAAATGCCCCTCGTTTTCTGTGCTGCCAATAGAAAACGCAAAGTGAATTTAAAAAAAAATCGCATCCAAATGCAATAAGCAATGTCTGATATGTTTTAATGTTATTCAATCTAAACAGCCATTCAAAACAAAAATGACATGCATTTCAGTCAGAAGTCTCTTTTTTTCCCTCTTTAGGCCAAAAAAGCCGCCTTTTTTCAGCCTGACCCATTAAACATGCGCTTTGTGGGCGTTTTGCACGCAGAAGAATATGACATATATGCTCAAAAGTGCTTAAATATCTTACCTTTACAAACACAGCAAAAAAATAAAAAATCTGTAACAAGTATTTGCTCGTTTCAATAAAATCAACAGAATATACCGTCCCCCCCCAAATCACTGCAGAGGTAGGAAGGCGCGTGTGAAATCTTATGACGTGTCATTTTAAGTCTTTAGAGTCTTTGTGGGGTCCCAGCATTTAGATAAAATTACCTAAATAATTTTATTTTAGATATTTTTGCTTGAAGACGTCTGCAGGTCAGATACAGAATATTTAGAGTATTGGTGGTTGTAAAAGAGGTCGGGGACCCCCAGATGATAAATCAGGGACGCAGAGCTGATTAATTGTCCCCTCAGGTCCCTTCTTCTTGTCAGTATTCTTTTTTATGTTGGCTCCCGAGAAGAGAAGCAATCAAATGAATAATAAATTAAAGTCTTAAGGTTCTCACTGGTTCCCCGCGCACGCAGACAGTGTCCACGCAGGGAGGCAGTATGCGTAGGGATAATAGTAGGATGGCTGCAGAGAGAGCAGCGGCGGCCGCAGGATCTCCCCAGGCCCGTACTGTCTCTGGTCGTCCCGCACTAGAACCTTCACCGCCACCTTCTTTGCAGTCGGGGTGGACGCCATCAAATCTGCGGCCATCTGCCGGCGTTTCGTCTTGTAGCGTCGGTTCTGGAACCAGATCTTGACCTGAGTCTCTGTCAGCTTCAGGGAGGCCGCCAGGTCCGCTCGCTCTGGCCCGGAGAGGTACCGCTGGTGGTTGAAGCGGCGCTCCAGCTCGAAGACCTGAGCGTGAGAGAAAGCGGCTCTGGAGCGCTTCTTCCGCTGCTTGGGTTGCTCCAGGTTCTTCTCGTCTGGGCTGCTAGAATCTGCAGAGGAGACACCAAGATTTGCATCCATTTCCAGAAATTCATCAGTCATTTACATATTTCCGGCGTAATTAAATGTCCTGCTAAATTAGGAAAGATAAACTACCATTAAATTTCCTTAAGATCGTCGTTCAGCTACCAGAAAATAAAAAACCCAATTTACGCAAAGGATTTAAAAATATGCTTTAAACACAGCATCATATTAAGTGAGAAATCCCTGCCAAACATATATAAATAATATTTCCGGGACCAAAAATACAACAGGAGGAATTAAAAAAATAGGTTTAAATGAGCTATGTGTTATTAATAGTGCGTAAATTGGGCGCAATTCGTGCGTAAAAGCAAGCAGGACGCGGAAATAAGTTCCGATGTCCTAAAATTACACGATGTGCAGCGCTTTTTATGATTCGACGCATCTTTATTCATAGCATTAATTATGAATTGTCAACAGTGATCATGTAGATTGGATTAATGTTAAGGGTTTTGACTCCAGAACATTAATTGTGGCACATTCTGATGTTTTACGCACGTATGCTCTGATTTTAAAGGCCTACCCACCCGTGGTGTTGTTGGGTTCACTGTCACTCTTTGCGTTCTCCGCAGCTGCAGATTCATGGTCCGTCTCCTCCTGCAGACTCTCCTCCGGGACGTCCGACACCAGCTCCCCGTCCCTCTCAGGCTGGCGCGCTGCTGCGCTCTTTCCGTCGTTGTCGTCGCTGAGTCCGGAGTCCGAGTCGTAGCCCTTCTGCTCAGACCGCTCGCATGGCGCCTCGTCGGTCCTCTCGGACCCCTCGTTCATGTCCCCGAATATTTTCCAACACGCCGCCTTGGAGAAGCAAACGTCCAGATCTGGTAAGTGTCTGCTGTTGTCCTTTTTATTCAGGATGGCCTGGATGGAAAAAGGCATCAGCGAGTTGCCACGAACGGCCATTTTTCTTTCCAACGGGAGAGCGACGCTTTGCTCTGTGTTTAAGTTGAGTAATCAGCGCTGTTGGAGGAGAAAATGTCAATTCATCCACATTTTAGGCTGTTCTCTCCTACGAGATCTGCTCAAGCTGTTTTACCCTCCAGGGTTGCGTCCTGCTTTCATTCCCGCACAGGACGATGACTTTTTACTACATCCGCTGGCGCATTGCTGCTCCACAGCTCAGATCTACCATCTTCTCAGATTCCTTCCAGACTCCGGCCCTTTTTACTCATTTTTTTTTTACTAATCAGCCTCACCTGTGACTCAGACTCACTCCCCTCCGGCGCCTATTGGCTGAGGAGGAGGAAAGGCTCGTCAGTGATTGGTCACCGTGTCAAAGACGTCGTGCTGCTCAATCGGGTAGAGGAAAGTTAAGAAAAGTCTAAAGGAAGTTTTTATATATAGGCCTTTATATTGCAGACCAGGTGCAGACCAGGAAGCAGAGTTGTAGTTTAACACACATCTCTGCAGCTTCTCTACTGTTACCCACTCTTTACTCCATCCAGACAGTGTCTTGCCCACGACCAAAATCTAATAAATTAGCAAAGATTCCCAAAGGAGTAAATCATGATAATCTAATTAAAATCAAAATAACTCCAATTGGGGAAAAAGTTAAAACAATTAAATGCGGTCTGTTTAACATAAGATCGCTTTCCTCTAAAAGTCTACTAGTTAATGACTTGATTTGTGATAATCACATTGACTTGTTTTGCCTTACAGAAACCTGGCTGCAGCAAGAGGATTATGTGAGCATAAATGAGGCAACTCCTTCAAGCTATTTAAATTTTCACATCCCCAGAAGTTCTGGGCGAGGAGGAGGAGTAGCAACAATCTTCGAGTCTGACTTACTGATTACTCCCAAAACAATTAATTCCTACAACTCTTTTGAACATTTAACCCTTAATTTCCCTGATCCAAATTTCAAGGCAAGAAAACCTCTTCTTTTTGTAACTTTGTATCGTCCACCAGGTCCTTACTCTGAATTTTTAGATGAGTTTTCAGAGTTCCTTTCTGATTTGGTATTAAATACTGACAGGGTCATCATAGTGGGAGATTTTAACATCCATGCTGACATTGAAGGCGATAGCTTAAGAGCAGCCTTTAATGCTATCTTAGACACTATTGGCTTTGTTCAAAATGTGAATAGTCCCACGCATTCTCATCTTCATACTTTGGATCTTGTGCTGACATACGGCATAGAATGTGAAGAAATAACAGTATTTCCTCACAACCCTGTCCTCTCTGACCACTTTCTAATAACCTTCAGGATTACTTTAACAGAGTTCTCCTCCCCCAAAAGAAGGTTCAATTTTAGTAGATCTTTATCAGATAGTGCAGTTATAAATTTTAAAGAATCTGCTTCACTTTCTCTCTGCTCTGTGTCACTGAGCAGTGCTGCAGAGTGCAAAAGCTTAGCTTATTCCCCTTCACAGGTTGATGATTTTGTTGAGGGGGTTGCTAGTTCTCTGCGTATTGCCTTAGACAACGCAGCTCCTTTGAAAATGAAAACCGTTAAAAATAGAAAGCTTGCTCCTTGGTTTAATGCAGAGCTGCGTACTTTGAAGCAAAATGCTAGGAAACTGGAGAGAAAATATCGCTCCACAGGCCTGCGAGAGTCCTTCCTAGTCTGGAAAAATGGTTTACTGCTGTATAAGAGGACCCTTTGTAAAGCAAGAGCAGCATACTTCTCCTCATTAATAGAGGAGAATGAGAATAATCCTAGATTTCTTTTTAATACAGTTGCCAAACTCACCCAGAGCCATAGCTCTGTTGAACCGTCCATTCCACCTGCTCTTAGCAGCAATGATTTTATGGGATTCTTTATAAATAAGATTGATCTTATTAAAAATAAGATCATAAGCACTCCTCTATCCGCGATTGTACCTGAGGTAGTCATGGAATCTGAACCGGGTTTAGACTGCTTTGATCCAGTTGAACTCTCTGAATTAGCAAAATTATTGTCTTCATCTAAGCCTTCAACTTGTATGTTAGATCCAGTTCCAACCAGGTTATTTAAGGAGGTATTCCCTTTGATCTCCTCCTCCATTTTAGATGTGATTAATCTATCTCTGTTACAGGGATATGTACCTAAAGCTTTTAAGATTGCTGTAATTAAACCTCTGCTTAAGAAACCGTCTCTTGACCCAGATGACTTGGTCAATTATAGACCTATATCCAATCTTCCTTTCTTATCCAAAATTCTTGAGAAAGTAGTTGCCAAACAAGTTTGCGATCACTTCCACCATAATGAACTTTTTGAAGAGTTTCAGTCTGGCTTTAGAGCTCATCATAGCACTGAAACAGCTCTGGTGAAAGTCACTAATGATATTCTCATGGCCTCAGATAATGGACTTGTATCTGTGCTCGTCCTGTTGGATCTTAGTGCTGCATTTGATACAGTTGACCATAATATTCTTTTAGAAAGACTTGAATATTTTGTTGGAATTAAAGGAACAGCACTAGACTGGTTTAAATCTTATCTATCTGATCGAATTCAGTTTGTTCATGTTAATGATAGATCTTCAACACGCTCAAAGGTTACCTGTGGAGTACCACAGGGATCAGTGCTAGGACCAATTCTCTTTACTTTATACATGCTCCCAATTGGTAGAGTTATTAGACAGCATGGGATTAATTTCCACTGTTATGCTGATGATACCCAGCTATATCTGTCTATAAATCCAGATGAAGCTAACCCATTACATAGATTACAGGCATGTCTTGAAGACATAAAAACCTGGATGACTCTTAATTTTCTGCTTCTGAATGCAGACAAAACAGAAGTTATAGTCTTTGGACCAGAGTCTCTGAAAAAGAAACTGATTAGCCAGTCACTTCATTTGGATGGGATTAAACTGATTTCAGATAATAAAGTAAAAAATCTTGGTGTTATTTTTGATCAGGACCTGTCATTTAAATCCCATATCAAAGAGGTTTCTAGAATTTCCTTCTTTCATCTGAGGAACATTGCAAAAATTAGAAATATCCTGTCCAGGGGTGATGCTGAGAAACTAGTCCATGCATTTGTTACTTCAAGGCTGGACTATTGTAATTCTTTACTATCAGGAAGTCCACAAACTGTAGTTAAAAGCCTTCAGCTGATCCAAAATGCTGCAGCCAGAGTTCTAATGAAAATGAAAAAGATCCTGGCTTCTCTTCATTGGCTTCCTGTTAAATCAAGAATAGAATTTAAAATCCTCCTTCTCACATATAAAGCCTTAAATGGCCAAGCTCCATCTTATATCAGAGATCTGATTGTTCCTTATGTTCCTAACAGAGCACTTCGCTCTCAATCTGCAGGTTTACTAGTGGTTCCTAGAATTTCTAAAAGTAGAATGGGAGGCAGATCTTTTAGTTATCAGGCTCCTCTCCTGTGGAACCAACTACCAGTTTTAGTCCGTGAGGCAGACACCCTGTCTACTTTTAAGGCTAGGCTTAAAACTTTCATTTTTGATAAAGCTTATAATAGGGTGGCTCAGGTTATCCTGAGCTATCTCTATAGTTATGCTGCTATAGGCTTAGACTTTTGGAGGACATAGGGACCCCCATTTCATCATTCTGCTTCATTCTCTCTCTGTTCTCCTATTCTGCAGAATCTGTTAGTTCAATCTCTAACCTTCTGCTCTCTCTGCTTTTCCTCAGAGTAGCTTTGCCTCGTCTGTTCCTGTTTGGCTGTGACGTCATCCTGGAAAAAAACATCAGCTGTGCTGCTTCTATCAACACCCTTGTTAATAGATGTTGGAGATCGGCCTGTTTTCCAGTGTGGTCCTGTTTCTCTGACCGTGACTGAGTGGATGTGCTCTCTTCGTCCTCTGGCATGGGAGCTGCCTTGGAGCTCGTCTGCCTGGCTGTGTGTTTCCTGGACGGGGCCGCCTTTTACAGCTGCTTTTTGTATCTCTGCTTCTGTCTCCTTGAACCCCAGTCGGCCTCGGCAGATGGCCGCTCACACTGAGCCTGGTTCTGCTGGAGGTTTCTTCCTGTTAAAAGGGAGTTTTTCCTCTCCACTGTCGCTACAAGCATGCTTAGTGTGAGAGATTGTATTTGAGTCAATGAGTCAATGCAATCAACTGGTTTTCCTTAGATAGAAAACTTTGTATCAATTTGACTGTATGATCTGGTTGAACTGTAAAGTGCCTTGAGATGACATGTGTTGTGAATTTGGCGCTATATAAATAAACTGAATTGAATTGAATATTTTTGGACCCTGAAGTGACATGTAGATTTAATCCATATCTGTTTCTTGTGAACTAACATTTACCATATTAGATTATCAAACTCTGTTCTTGCCAGGTTCGGTTTTGCTTCTCTGTTGCATTTAATTAATTTCAAATTATGCGAAAACAGTAATAATCTGAACCAATTATTTGCGGACATATTAAAGATTAGATAAAATGAGAATGATCTATATTTAAAAGAAAGCGCCACCCCTCTTAAATCAATTAATAATTATTACTATATTTTTTTGTCTATTATTGCAACACATTCTCATTCCAAAAGCTTTGTTTGAAATCTAAATATATTTAACATGACTGCATGTCCAATATTAACGCATTAAATTGTGTGATGCTTTCCGGATTATTCAGGTCTGTTATGCTTCTAATCAATGGAGGTGCTGCTGCAGCAATCAGAGATAAACCTCAAAATGCGCACTGTTCTTAGAGCCTAAATGCCATGCGACGCGTTTAATTTACGATGGAAAATAATAATGATAAAATAATATATATTTTCATGTTTTGGCCCATCATTATGTACGTACAGGATCTGTTTGTGAGAGAGGGAAACTGGTAACTTTATAATACAAACTATATCTAAACTTACCAGATCACGGAATTTAGATATTTGATTATCTGTCCAGAAATCCACAAATTCAACCAAATTCAAAATTACTGCAGGATGCATCAGATTAAAAACTAAATTCATTTGCAGACCACAAGTTCTCCCTGCACTAGTGGGACATAATAAAATGACCGCATAGGTTACAAACAATGTGCCTAACTGATGCCAATCTGGAAATACATTTTCTACAGAAAATTCCCTTTTTGTTATTTTAAAGCGGCAAATATAATTATATTTGTATTTATATTTCGTCTCATTTAGTTTTTGTTTATCAGGCCATTATTATTACATTCTGCATCTGGTTGGTTAAAAATAAATATTTGAATAATTTGGAGAGTAATTATAAAGTAATCTTTTTTTTTTTTGAACAAAGATTACTTTCATTATC